TTCATTCTGGAGCAGGAAGAAAAGATAATGATCGTCCAGATTTATGTGGATGACATAATCTTTGGAAGTACTTCTCAAGAATTGGTGAATGCCTTTGTTGCAAGCATGACTCGTGAGTCTGAGATGAGTATGGTATGCGAACTCAAGTATTTCTTGGGGCTTCAGATTACTCAGTCAGAGGAAGGTGTCTTTATCTCACAAAGTACTTATGCCAAGAATCTTCTAAAGAGATTCAAGCTAGACTCATGCAAGGAAGCTAAGACACCAATGAGTACCACCACCAAGCTTTCACGAGATGAGGAAAGAGTTAACGTCGATCCAACCCTCTACAGAGGAATGATCGAAAGTCTCCTGTATCTCACGGCAAGCAGACATGATTTATGCTTGAGCGTTGGTATTTGTGTGAGGTATGAAGCCAAACCAAATCAGTCACATCTTGAGGCAGTGAAAAGAATCATCAAATATGTCAAGGGAACGGTTGATATTGGTATCTGGTACTCCAAAGGATCGAATCCGAACTTGGTGGGCTACTGTGATGCTGATTGTGCAGGAAGTGCAGATAATCGAAAGAGCACTAGTGGTGGATGTTTCTTTCTTAGAAACAACCTGGTTTCGTGGCTCAGCAAGATTCGGTGTCCCTCTCCACTGTGGAAGCAGAGTATATCTCTATGGGAAACTGTTGCAGTTAACTTTTATGGATGAATCAGATGTTCGCAGATTAAGGGATGGATTCAGGCCCACTTCTGGTATACTGTGACAATAAGAGTGCAATAAGTATCTCAAAGAATCCGGTGCAACACTCAAGGCAGAAAAAAATGGAAGCTGTTCAGAAGAAAAGAAAAAACATAAGGCAGAAAAAGAGAGGAAGCTGCTAAGTCAGGGTGTACCTCATAAAAAAAACAAAGGTACATTGTGACAAAGAACCAGCGGCTCTCTCTCGATGGATAAAGATTGAAAACTGACTAAAGACATGATAAAAACGAGGTGGTGTGAAAGCTAGTTTTAGTGTCAAGACCTGACAAAACACAAAGAGTCAGGAAAAAGCTGAGTGTTCATTCGAAGTCACGTGCTGAGTCAGTGCATGCATCATCCATAAAATCGGGGTAAACAATCTGAACTTAGAAAATGTTTTCAAATGTTTTCAAAATCGGAGTGATGAGTGGGAGATTATTACTCTAGTTTGTGCCCATGGATTTATCGGATTAAATATGTCAATAACTGTCATGTTCTATGTGTTGTGCTAATGATTCTCCTGTCCCAAAGGAAAAGTATGCCACAATGAAACAGATGATGGGCCACAGACAAATGATGCTCATCAAAATAGGCCCAACAACAGCCCATGAAAAAAAATTAAAAAAAAGGAGAGAGAAATCGAAGTTGTTATAATTGCGGGAGAGGAAAAGAAAGAGTCACAAAATCGATTCGAGGCAAAACCCTAGGTGCAGAGAATCTCTCTAGTTCAGTTCAAGGTATCTCAACCTAGATTGGTACTTAAATTGGTGACTGGAACACGCAGATGAGTCATTGGAAAGAGATCCAAGTCCAAGATGTCACATGCAGCAACCGATGCCTCGCAACCTCACATCATCGATGAGGATATCACCGATGAAGGGACTCCAATAATTCCACTTGTTGGAGAGAAAGAGGGCCAACACAGAGACGCCGGAAGCGACGGCAAGTCGTTTGCAATGGCGAGTCGTTTGCAACGGCTGAGGAAGGTGGTGATTCCTCTGTCAAACCCAATGATGGATCGGAATCTGAAACACCGAAGGAGGACCAGAATCGGGTTGACCCATCAAACCCGATTGACACCCAAGAGAGAGATCCAAGGGAATCGGCACCAGAAGAGCTTCCGAAAAACACTACAGAGGCCGAAAGCGAGTTGCCTGAGTCAACTCAAGAAGCTGGAGATCAAGCAGCTGAACCATTAACTGATACGCTCCCATAAGAGGTCTCGGGTCAGAAACAGTTGGAAGAACAGATGAGGAAGCGAAGTCTGATGTTAGCAGTGCTCCCTCCGACGAAGCGATCTCGACAAGATCCGACTGCCTTAGCATCTGTTCCACTGAATGCTGCAGATGAAGCGTCCCATCCCTCGAAGAAGCAAGCGTAATCCTCATCCAAAGCTGAGAATCGAAAAGTTGAGGCATCGGGAAAGAACAAGAAGAAAAAGAAGACAAACTCCCAAAACAGAAAGGGGGCTGCGACTGATCAGAGACTTGAGCTGTTCAAGGATCGTCACATCTGGTGCGAGAGAATAGTGGATATCGACGAGGTGGATGAGTAGAAGTACCTTGAGGTACTACTCGAGAGCGGTATGTGCTGGTCGGTGACAGAACTCGAACCGTACATGAACAAGGTGGTGCGAGAGTTCTACGCAGGATTGCCCTCTGAAACTCTGAGTGACCCATCTTAAGTCTGTGTGGTAAGAATCATAGGAGTGAAGGTACAAATCTCTCCGGGAATCATCAACGAGATCTTGCGTCGTGAGCCACTGTCTGAGTCAGAAAGAAAAGAAGAGGCGAGGTGGATCTTGTGCCAATCTCTGAGGTATCACGGTATCTGTCACAGGGACATCAGTCGGTTTGGGCTGAATTGAACTTTAAGGATTTTCCTCCCTGGATAGCTGCACTGATGGTGATCGCATCCTCCAATTGGGTGCCATCCACAAACAAGCATCATATCTCTGAAGAGCGAGCTACGCTGGTCTAGAAGCTGGCGCATGGAGTCCAAGTAGTCATTGGTCTGATGATCTTCCAGCAGATGCTTGATCTGAGCAAGGTGATCAAGGGAGATCGGTGATGGTTAATGTTTCCATGCCTTATCACTAAGGTCATCAAAAGACAGCTCATCCTGCAGCCTGAAGAAGGAGAAATGTGGATCATCCCAATGAAATACAAGAATGATCCAAGAAACGGGGAAACGTTCCTCAAAAAGGAAGCAGCGACTGCAGCTACATAGGAGAAGGTTAAAGGGAAAAAGAAGAAAGAAGCTCAGAAGAAGACGCCATCAGCCTCGACGTCACAATCACCAGAGCCAAACCCGCGACCTAAGACAGCATTCGAGCCATCCTCATCAGCTGAAGGAGTCAACAACGTGAGTGAGGGAGTAGTACAGGTGCCAGAGCCTCCGGCTAGTGCATAAAGAATCAGGACAACTCTTGAAGATGTGTCCTCTGTCCCTAAAAGTCTGGGGGTTGTGACAGTCATGTTGCATGCGGTAATCACAAGTAAGTCCACTTCAACTCTGTTTGAACTTAAACATATTTTTGTTCATCGATGTGTTTTTAACATCTGTGCTCACAAGCAGGGGGAGAAAATTGAAATCGATGGATGCAGGAATTACAGGGGAGTTTCTTTTTGGGTTATGGGTTTTTTTTTTAAATTCTGTTGATTCTGGGAGAGTAAGGAGAGAGAGTTTAAGATTGTTGTTGGTACTTTTGGTTTCTTCTTGAACTCCTGCATGTTAAAACTTGGTACTCCATTTTATTTTTGGAGTTATTTTGGTTAATCAGAATTATTTCAGAATGGCGTGTGGTTGTGTATTGCTTTGGCTTGTGTTTGTATGTCTTCAATTTCTTGGACAGGTACTTGTGAGGCACATATGCTAAAAAAAGGGGGAGTTTGAAGCTGCAAACAAGGCTGGAGCAGCACGTGTAGCAGTCGAGCTGGCTCAAGAGCTGATACGGAGAAGACTTGCGGAACAATCTACACACATGGAGGTGAGCTGGTAGCTGAGCTGGAACTGTAGGAGGTGTTGGACACTTCAAGAAACGAGAAGCTGATTTGGATAAGAGGCTTGGAATATCTTGGAAGATTTTCGAAGAATATATCAAATTTCCTTTATCTTAGGAGAAGATAGGGAAGGAAGAGATTCTCTTGAAGATTTAGAGAAATCGCTAAGGAGAGTCTCGGCTAGGTTTAACCACAAGTCCTATTATGTATAAATAGGCGTGTGAGAACCTTGTAGGGTTTTAACACAACTGAGTGAATTCTTAGCAAATGGTGAACGAAATTCTTGTAAAAGTTTGTGAGCTAGAGTGCTAAAGATTTTGGGTGAGAGGTTCTTAAATTACGTATCGTTTCAAGAACAGAAAGAGGTTAGTGTAGCAAATCAAGAAGTGTCTTGAGTTTGCTCTAAATCGAGTTCTGTATACTTGTAAGTTACAAACAGATTTACTAAAAATATATTTTTGTGTAAAGAAAATTTCTGTGTTATGTTTTGTGTTAGTTTTTAAGATACGGTTTTTGCATTTTCAATTTGTAATGGAGTTTTACATGATAGTTTTCATAGAGAATGATTTAGATTTGGTGGATCTCTTTGCCTTGATGTTTGCAGTTCATCGGATATTTGCTTTCGGAGGGAGCTCTGTTTCTGCGTCGTCGTTGGCTGTGAGTCTCATCGTCATCTCTTAGATCAACCATAGCCTTCCACGTTTTATACACGTGTTTAGTTTTAATACATCTTTGTCTCATTTGGTCAATAGGTTGGATTGTTGGACTTGCTATGTAAAGGTTTTGGTCTTTGAAACCTCATGTAATCTGCCCGTTTTGGGCTTTGTGTAATCAAAAAGACGCCAAAAGAAAAAACACTGAAGAAATCAAATAAAATAAAATAATTTGCCATAATTATGATGGGCCAAAAAATTATAACTCTTTTCACTTGTTTACTCTGAACTGGTTAGTCACTTGTTTTACTCTGAATTCGTTAGTCAGACACTAAGCCTTATCCTAAACATGATGAAACCAATTTATCATGACAATTCTGGAAATTTCTTCCTCTCCAGAACTCTAAAATTTTACTTCTCTTTTGAGCTTTTGATTTGGGTTATAACTTAGCGAAACCTTTGTTGTTTGGGCTAGTGGAGGGAATATCCGACGGATACAGAAGCCGAGCTTCTGGTTACTACCTTACAATCTTATGAACATTGTGTTTTATACAGTTGTCTAAGTCGATCCTAAATAATTACTGTAAATGATAATATTTTTGGTTCTCTAAATTTTGAAGGCAAATTGTGTTGTAGAAGACCGACCGTCTTTAACTAATTAACTGTATCGGACACGGAGATAGAAAACATGCATCTTTTACAGTAAGTATGCAACCCACCACATAATGAACTCGGTACATATGAAACTTTGCCGGAGACACATAAGGAGATAATATTGCAACCCTATCTCCCTCTCTTCGCACACGCTAATAAATGTCGTCTCCTCTTAGCTTTTCAAGGATGATCTTCTCTTGCTTCGCGTCTGTTGGTTGCTATAAGTTAGGAATTTCAAATTACAAAACTTTCAAGCGTCAATGCTATTGTAACTAAACAAAGATATCTAGAACAAAAGTTAGGGAAACGTTTGAAAAAAGGATACATTCCTGATCCGGTTCTTCAGAGAAATTAGAGTGCAGCGCGTTCCCCATACTGTCCACGATGGCTGAAATGGTCATCGACGATTCAATGCACAGGATTGCTGTTATGGCATCCAATCGTGTGACCTCATTTCTTAACATCAGCCTTGCATGAGCTGTGACACCATTATACAATTAATCATTTTTTCTTCTTCTTATGTAGTGATTTGATTGATAAAGAGGATAACATAAGAGCTACCTTGAGCTAGACGGATTAAGCTTTCTAACATCCGCACGGTTGTTCTTGCTGCAATTCAAAGTAAAAGCAAATTACATGAAAGATATCACCCCACCTTAGGATTTATCTAAATTGTTTCATTGTACCCACCAAGCAAGTATCAAGTGGATTTGAAATCGATCGACCTATCTCTTGGCTACACTTACATCCAGTAAGAATGGGGTTGCAGAGCAATTTTTGATATAAATAAAGAATAAGAAGACACTGTTCCATGTTAATAAAAAAAATTAACATCTGGAAAACAAAGAAGTGTGCTTAGAAGATACCTGCATTATGTGTTGATGATCTTCTTTGGAGTCGATAATAACTTGAAATTATTTCTTCTGATTCCTTTGACAGGACAGGCCTGAAGTTTTTTTTTACAAACTGAATGTACCTGCATAGGTCAGGATTGTAAGAGTTTATTAGCAATTTCTAGGATCAAACGCATCTGTCATCTCAGACTTCTCTGCAGGGAAAATAATTTGTAACTCTTCTGTACACATCAGGTACCTTTGAAGCATCGGTAGTGGCCAAATCGTAGTCAGATCATCGACATATCTGCCTTGCTCTATTTCCACCTGAGTTGATGACATCAAATTATTAGAGACATAAAAGTCATATATATTGCCACACATATAAACTCTCTTCTTAATAAGGGCCATTAAGTATGCAATGCAATACAATATAGACTTCTTTAAAGGAAGATACCTCAGCAAGGATGTGGGAGGATACAACTTTATCCCATTCAGGATTCTTTGTATCTAAAAGAACGAGTACAATATCAAATCTGCTCAACAAGGGACCGGAGAGGGCAGTATTTACAGAAAGAGCTAAATTCAGTTAAGAACATTCTGAAGAAAAATATCAAAACAAGTACACCAAATAAACTCAAATGCTAACGGAAAACAGGAACATTTTTCCTTCTATAAGTGATAGCACCAACTTTTATTGGAAAATCAGTAGGCATGTATGAAAGCAAAAGCTTGTCTGAGGTTTTCTAAAAATGGATACACTGATCGGGATCATATTGTCCTTTAGGATTTGTAGCACCGAAGACGATTGTCTTTGTGCTAAGAGTCGTTACAAGGCCAGCCTTCAAATTAAAAAGACACAATGAGAAACATACAAATACAGAAACAAAATAAGGCATAAGCTGTTTTAATAGGAACGATGTACAGCTTGTGGTGCTGTGCGACAAAAAGAAAAATGTACATAAAGAAGTTCTATAGAGTGGTCTACCTTGGCAACGCTTATGCTTTGTTGCTCCATTGCTTCATGTATGGTTGCTCTGTCATGCTCTCTCATGCTTCAAGAAAGAAAGAAAAAAAGCACCTTAGTTTTAGTTGTGTCTTTCAAGGAAGAAGCAATAGAACCAAAGTCGATGCACAAATAGAGCTGATATAAATTGAAAGGATACTAAAATGCTTGCTATGTTAGGCTGACCAATTTATACTAATGATGATAGTTCTTGTCAGTGATAAGATGCCAGATATTTCACAAGACCACAAGAACACTTCAAGTTCATTGTAAATCAAACTTTTCAAGCAGATAACACTATGGATTAATTTAATTAACAATATACTACATGTTTCTTCCCTCTGGCATCTGGAGAGTACCTATCAAATTCATCAATACAGCAAAGTCCACCATCTGCAAGAACAAGAGCCCCAGCTTCCAACATCCACTCCCCTGGAAACAAATTAGTAAGAATAAACGGAAAAAAAGTGTTAAGAAGGACCCAACACAAGAGATAAGATTGGAGCGCTTACCTCCATCCTTAACCGCAGTTACAGTCAATCCAGCACTTGTGCTTCCTAGTCCTGTTGTGATTACAGCTCTGTTGCTTAGTTTTGCAGCAAACTTCAAGAACTGAGATTTTCCAGTGCCTGCCACATATTAACAACGTAAAAAGTGGATCCGAGTCAAGCTACACTCCCATTTAGAGTTGAATCAGCATCTAAACAAGAAATCACAGTACATTTTACTATACTCAAATCTCTTGTTAAGTACTCTAGTTCCAAATCAATTTAGTTCGGCCAAAAATTTGCATCTCATTCACAATTTAAGAGCCATGCGTAGATATGTATATAAGAATGGAAACACTCAGTGGTTGACACCGACCTGGATCACCAATAAGAAGCAAGTGAGACTCTCCCCGGACTTTTGTACCAGAGGCATCAACATGTTGCACACCTCCAATGAGTGTTAAGGCAACTGCATATTAACACATGCACATGCATGAACAAATTTCTAGGCAATTCAATGAGAATAGATGTTGACACCAAAAAAAAAAGTATGCATTCAGCATACCTGCAAGCTTAACAGTGAAGAGACCAAAGACTTGTGGGCAGATACCTCGTAGGATAGCATTTCTCCCTGGCTTAATCAAATACTAAAGAACTTAGCATGAGTTTTAACAAATATTCAACTTTTGATTTCCATATATTACTTGGTAGGACATAATAGTTGTTCAAAATAGTTTCCAAAGTAACAGTGACTTTTTACCTTTCAAAGGGGTATCTTTGAAGTGGCTCCAAAACTTCTTGAACTTCTCGATCAATTCATCAGATATGTCAATTTCTGATTTGAGTTCGTTAGTTCTTCTACAGAGCGGCAGGATAACAGGTGAAAATGAGGTAGAAGTGAGTTAATAACTGAAATGGCAATGCCCAATAGTAACTCAGAATATGAGGAAATAGAATCTCCTCAAATACCGACAATAACTCTCCGGAGACAAAACCTTTGAGGGAGCTACTTCATTGTTTAGTTAGCCTCATTGATTGTTTTGGGCAAACAAAACAGTACCATTTTTTATACTAAAAGATTTCCTTGATAAAATTGATCAACAGGGATTTGCTTTATCAAAGTTGCCAAGCTATTTACGATTTACCTGACATGATTGGCGATCAACATAGGTTCAAGGTCGCAGCGAACGTCTTTTAAGTCATGAGACCATTTTGACGTCAAGATGCCAGAGACAACAACATCATCTGCATAAAAAAGAAAATAAGAAAGATGTTACTGAATTTTAATCTCAGGAGGCGGAGCATTTATGCCAGCACCCTAAAAATGGTTAGACTAAGTGTTGGAAATTATAGCCATGGTGTTGTACCTCCAGCTTTAACAATGTCAACAAGGTCATCTTTCAGGACGACTAGAATGGACCTTGGGATAACCCCAACACCTAAAACCTGAGTATTTTCTTGGATTTTGATTTCTTGATAGTCATGGCGTGTGACTGTATCTTCCACAGGATCAAAGTTTGTGCCTTCACAAGATTTTGACCGCTGTCACCAAGAGTTGAAGATTTCAAAAGTGTTATAATATCAATTATTTAGAAGAAAATGGAAGCTACGAACACGGTTTCAGTGGAAAGGAGCATTGCTAGTAAAAGAATGAAATGAGATACAATGTGACAAACCTGGGAAGGACAAAAGGGCGGTTTCACGATTGAGTTTATCGATTCCAACTCAGGGAAAAGAGGAAACCTATACAAGGAATCAACTCACAGTCAGGCAGAAACACAAGAACAAGAGGTGACAAAATCCAAATTAAACAACACAAAACATACATGTGCTTGCATTTTCGGCATCTATACATCCGTTCTCCCTCGTACATTTTGACAGCCCCAGAACGAATCACTGTGCCTTTCAACATCAGCAGAATCCCACGGTGCTTTACTCTAACCCGACCAATACTCGGGAAAGAGTCTGTGACAAAACCAAAATAAGCTAAGAGAAGCAGAATAAACTCGATGGAAAAAAAAAAAAATGTTCTGTAGATAGAATAAGACGCACACACACACACACACACCAGGGCTTCGTTCTAGAGGGGATCCACTAGTGTTTATACGAACATGTATAAATCTCTTCTCGGTCCCAATCTTGTTCTCAAATTTTTTCATCTGCTCCAACGCAATTTTCTAAACCCAAACACAAAACTCGTCTATCTGATTACTGAAATCCCACATTTGATTTACAATTAAACTACAAAATCCAGAACCAAAAAAAAACAGATGATTCATCATCAAGTTGAGTAACATACGTGAGCCAAAATGGCTGAATCGTCGAAGTGACGAAGAAATTGCTCGGGATTGGAGAAAACAAGATGCGCCAGATTCGGATTATCATCAACGAGTTCTGCGAATCTAGAGAGAGAGAGAGTGATAGTGCAGTAAATGAAAAGAAGATTCATGGAGAGAGAGATAGAGAGAGAGAGAGAGAGAAATAAAGCATTACTCGAGAAAGAGAGGGTAGTGAAGTTTGGGATCGGTAGAGAGAGAGATGTCGCGGAGCTGATCGGAATAGTGGTTCATCAGAAACTCCGTCATAGACTCTATGTGCTCCGCCGTCTGTGTCGGCGATTCCATCATCGTCGCGCCGGCGAAGGAGAAAGGTTAAGGGTTTTGCGCGGGAAATGAGTAAATGGGTCTTCCGGAGGGGAAATCATCTCATTTATCCCTCCTCCTCAAATCCAAGTCTGATTTCTCCCCATATTTAAAATATTTTTCGATGTAATTATTTTTAATTTTCAAAATATAGTAGGTACATAACTCAACCTAACCCAATTCAATAAAATTATATCTTAAACCTAGGTTTTATCCACTCATCCAGTGATATCGGATGTAATCCGACCCAAATACTTAATTTAAAAAAATAAAATTCCCTATTTTGATATAATTTCTAACAGTTTCTTTCCATTTTCTCTCCTCTTTTCCCGATTTTAAATCTCTCTTCGTGAAACTAGAAAGAGGAATAACTAGAGATCTAATCCTCTTTCCCCCAAAACTGTAATTGAATGATTATCCCATTCTTTAACCCTAGCCTCTAACCCAAAGATGTCTCCTAGGTGGACGAGGAAGAAGAGGAAAATCGCTCCAAAAGAAAAGCTTAAGAGTTCCAATCCGCCTACGAGGGTTGAAGCATCACGAATGGAGGAAGAGGTTGATAACACCGTATTTTGATCACTTTTATGAATCCTTTTGAAATACTTTTTCTATGTTTTTATTGCTTCAAATACTTTTATTACGTTTTTCTAGTATTTGTAGTTTCAAAACTCTTTTCATGAAATTTAAGGAAAAGCTTAACAAAATGGATAGAAGACCAGATTTTCAGCTCATAGTCAAAACGTCAGAAGTTCACCCCTGATTGAAGGCCTTCTCACCATCTGATCCAGCTCAAATTTGGAGATCACAAAGATGGAAATATCTCAAAGATGGCAATCCAACGGTTCAATAAAAAAATACGCGAAGAGCAAGATGTCCCGTAAACCAGCCGGCAAGCATTTCTACCCACGGCCAACAGTCATTTCACCACGGTCAGAGACTTTCCGACCGCGGCCAAGCATCCATTCCCCACGGTCACGCACTTCCCGACCGCGGCCAGCCAACTTCGAACTCGAAGACCCATTTCTGAAGCCCAAAATGATTTTCTCATTTGGAGAAACCCTAAGTGACGCCTAGAGATGTCTTGAGCACTATAAATACATGTTTTAGGAACCCTAATCGCATGACCTCATATGCTCTTATTGTTTTAGAATACTTTTTAAGTTTTAGCTTTTAGGGAGAAAAAGATTTGTCTCTTGAACCTTTGCTCTTTCTTTTTCAATTTCGATTATTGCTTTACTTTTTAATACTATGTTTTTGATTTCGTTCATCATGTCTGAGCAGTTTTATTTTTGGGTCAAATGGGTTTTCGATGGGGATACATATGTTCGATGAGGATCCCATGAGCTATTGAAGCCGAATCTGAGAACTGTTTCTTCTGAATTTACTTTTACTGCATGAGAGTAGCGTCTTGAACTACAATCTGATCTAGGTGCTTGGTGAAACGAAAGTGTTCATCCGGTGTCAGATCTAGTTTGGGAGAGCAAAACAAATATAGGAGTGGAAACTACCTATGGGCGATTTGTGAATGCTGACGAGTCTTAAAAATAATGCATCTTTTCTCTTCCATGGCCAGAGTGGAAACCTACTGGTCAGGGTTCAGAGAGATAGTTGTCTATGATCACGACAGTGGCGTATTCATACGTCTGTGACTCTAGTTCGAAAAGTTTAAGCTAAGATCTTATCAAATTTACTCTTTAGCAATATTTTGAATCGTTCATACCCCAGAGAAAACTTCTCTGAAATCCAGCGCCTTCTTTTCTATAGATTTACATCGATTTTATTTCAAAGTTTAGTTCATGATTTTCATTCTCATGATCGATTTTCATTTAAGCAATTACGTTTAGCCGTTTTCTCGTTTTTAGTCGATTTCGTTAAGTTTAATTATTAGGTCATTTTAATTCTCGTATTTTCTCGTTAAGATTAGTTTTTACGTTTTAAAGACACGACCAAAACCCTTACAAAAACGCCTGGTTCTAGACTTCCTTACTTTATATTTATTTCAAAGGCATTTGCAGGAAAGATCCTCCTTCCTTGTGGATTTGATCCCTAAGTACTACAATCGATCACATGTGCATTTGCGGCTATTGATTTCATTTAGGGTAAAACTTGACACCCCTCACGACAGCACACATCAGAGGTTGAAGAAGAAGTACAGAGATCACGATCTTTGCCTCCGATTAGTGACGAAGAAGGAAAAGATCTAGAGAAGTCAGACAAGGAAGAAGAAGGTGACGAAGAAGAGGAAGAAAGACGAAGAAGAAGACAAAGAAGAAGACAATGAAAACTCAATTGCATTGGACGAGGGAAGTACCAATTCAACCCAATCTAACAGTCGAATTGCAGGCGACGCCATGGACTCAACGATAAGTAGTTGGATTCGATTCACAATCCCAAAGATGCCTCCTAGAACAAGGTGGACGAGGAAGAAGAGGAAAATTGCTCCAAAAAAGGGGTTGAGAGTTCTGATCCGCCTTCGAGGGTTGAAGCATCAAGAATGGAGGAAGAGGTTGAAGAAGAAGTAGAGAGATCACGATCTCTGCCTCCGATTAGTGACAAAGAAGGAGAAGATCTAGAGAAGTCAGACAAGAAAGAAGAAGGCCGTAGCCACCACTGTCAGGGAGATCGGGCTCTGGTTTAGCCGCCGCCATCGACATCTCCATCATCGCCATTTTTTCCTCTATCGAGCTGCTCTAGCCTGAACCAGGTCAGTTCAGTTATTGAGTTAGGCATTAGATTTGATTATTTTAGTATGCACATTGGGTGTTTGATCATGATTTCTAGGTTGATTTGGACTTCAATTTGGTAATATAACTATTTTAGTGGTTGAATCGTAGTGCATTGTAAGTAATCGGCGAGACCATCCAGTTTTTGCGATAGGAGAACTGGGTATGACTAGCATTATTGGAAAATGTAGTATAACTAGTAAAACTGGTATTACTTGAAGTCATGATTTATTGAGTAAAATTTGGTGCAACTAGTATTACTATGTATAGAGCAGGTATAACTGTCGATAAATAGTATTACTGGTTGAGTTTTTTGTATTGTTTTGATATACGATGAGCAAAAATATCAGCATACATTTTAAATGCCAAGGTCACATATACAGTTTAATGTTGAAGACACCTGTGTGAGAGATAAGTCTGTCGATGATAGAAGCTAGGATATACAAGAACCTTGCATTAGATGAAAGTAAGGTTAAATTGGAAATGAGTTGCATTTAATTGCTGGTTGTAGGAGGTGAGGAACAGTTTACTATTTCTAATGATGAGGATCTCTGTGTTTTTCTAACATCCAATGATAGAGAGAATCATAAATGTATGTTGTATGTGGAGGCCATGATACAATGTACAACTAGTACAACTGGTAAAACTCAGATGTTATATAATAATTTTGACTTTTAGAAAAACTAAACAAAAATTCATGCGTTCAGAGATTGGGATGTTATGATACAATTTACACAATATCACAACATCCCAATTTTGATAGAAAAAAATATATTTTATATCATATTAAGATGTTATAACATAATCTACACAATATATTTTTTTTATAGTTTTAAGATCATTTTGCAAATAATAATCAACTTAGGATGAAAAAGTTAGAAAAAACTTGATATTGAACATATTAGAGAATAATACACTCAGAGACAGATTATTCTGGACTATATAATCAACTGAAAAACTAGTAAAACAAATATTAAGGGTAAGTAATTGTTTTTGGTTATGTGTTTTGCAATGGTGTCGAAAGGTAAAATTAGTTTTTTTTTTTTTTTTGTTTGTTTGTGTATTGGGCATGTGTTTTATTTTTATGTGAATCTATGGTTGTTTACATTATTCTTGGATAATATGTGAATGTTGTGCTAACGCCATTGAAAACAATGATACAGGAGAACAAATTTCAAAAATCCCTCGGTTTTATGTATAATATGCTGTCATGGTTTATAGAAGCTGCAGCATTTATGTACATCGCCCTTGCAGATAGTGACATAAGACAATCAAAGTTTTGCTACTATTTTTTCGTCCATCAGAGTTTGTGAATTCGTTTCTACTCTCTATTATATGAAGATGTGCCTTGAAACTCACGGGAAAATGTTATTATAGAATATAGAGCCTAGGTCCTGAACAGGAAGACTTTGTTGGAATCGTTTTCCTTTTACTGACCAACGCAACAATTGGCTTCTTTGAAGAAAATAATAATGGGAATGCTGCTGCAGCTCTTATGGCCGACTGTCTCCAAAAACAAGAGTGTGGTTCTTCACCTTATTTATTTTGACTCCATTAAGCCACGCCAAAGCTAGCTGCATTATCGTTTCAATATTACCTCAAATCTGATCAAGATCCCCTCTTAATAGGTTCTTAGAGATTGATAGTGTCAAGAGTAAGATACGTTTATCTTAGAGAGACCCCATGAAAATTGACCAAACATGTACAAAACATTTGGCATTTAGTTTTTGTGTTGCGTCTCTTTTCTTTTAGTGCACTATTTAAAGAATATCTCTACAAAATATCTAAACTTTTATTCCTGCAGTCATCGCTTACAAGAGAAATCACTACTTGTGACCAAGTAGAAGGGTGAGCAAGTCTTTTTTTTGTACTACTTGTCAGCAATGTAAAATAGAATCTGTTGTGATAGCCAGTGGTTGGTAAAACAACATGCTTGGTGGACATCACTGATGTAACTGGACATCTTCAGCAGGATCTTTGTTGTTCCTTCTTTTTTCCATTTTGATAGAATCTGATTTGTAAAATAAAATCTTGGGACTGATTGTTCTCTTAAAGTGGTGGGATATAGTCCAGAATTTTTGTTGTTATTGCAGTTGTACCAATAAGATGTCAGAATTCATGTTTTGAGATTTAGATCTTGGATATTCTTATGCCCATTTGTATGATAATTTTTTAATTTTTGTCAGGTGACTTAGTGGAAGGCAGAGGGATTAACGATCTCTGATATCCCCGTATATATTGGAAAATAAATGGGAAAGTTAGAGAAGACTATGATGCTCAACGGTCAATGTCGGTGGGAATTTCCAATGTACGAGCAGGTGAAGTTTTTTCAGT